TCTGTGGGCTCACAATGGCCCCAGATGCAGCTAGAGCCAGGTAGGTCGCAGAGAACTCTCTCGTGCCTCTGCAGTCCAGCAAACTGAGGTGTCTCCAGCTAGCCACATCTCCTTATAAGTAGCAGACAGTTGCTCAGAAACAGACCAATTTCCACCCAAGTTAAAGATTAACCCCAGCCTCACCCAAGTACTAGTCTGCAGGGGCTCTGGCAAGGAGAAAAGTTCAATACACACCAGGATCAAATCCCCAGGGATTTCTGAGATTACAAACTTGGCCCTGGTGTGCAGAAAGAAGGAATGAGTGGGGCTAGGTTTGGATATAATACCTGCTAAAGAGCTCAAGGATTGTTGGACCCCCACCCTGGCTCCTCTTCCAGACTCACCCACCCTCCTGGTGCACAGGAGATGAAGTAACAGCAGCTGTGGCCCTGTGTCCACTTCCCACTGCCCAGCCCCAGCCCGCCTTTGTGTGAGTACCACTGCTGGTCCCCTCTTCCTTAGAGGCTGTGTCCTAATGAAGCCTTTCACTTTCCCTGCTGGATTTTCATTAAGGAAATTCCTGGTTCCTCAATGATGCCTTTAAAAAAATCATTCTCCACTGAGGATTGGAAATGCTGCACAGTCTCTAGGGAGGCCTTGAAAGGGATGCCCACCTTCACCCTCACACCAGGCCCCCAGCAGTCAAATAGTAGCTTGTACTCAGGGATTCTGCTATGAGGAGGACTCAGGTGACCAGTCTTGACCCCTTTCCCCCAGGGACGAAGATGACTGGAGCACACCCTAATCCATCCCAATGGGGTGTGTTTCACCGCCAAGAACATCCCATTGGGCAGAGAGGGAAGACCAGGGCAAGGGGACAGTTGTGGGCTGGAGAGGATTCCAAAGTGAATCAAGAGACCTAAAGCAGAGTCCAAGTGTCTGCCATCAAATGGAGGAGACAGTATTAAGAGACACTTAAAGCCCAGATTTGCCTGTTAGAAGGACAAGGGGTCTCTGCTCTCACAGATAAAGGTATAGAAGAATGACATGGCAGACCAGCAGCTTGCTTTATGGGCATGACCTCATCTGTTCAGCTGATAAGAATCTGGTGCTGTTTCCTGTAGTCCAAGGGTCTCAGACAATGGTGTGAACGGCTGGCCCTACTGGAAAGGACCATTGTTCAGGGAAGAAAAAACAACACACTAGCACAAAGCCAGGGCAGGACCTGCCTAAATATAAGGGCCTGTTAACATATCTATGATTTCCAAGTGAGGGGACACAATGGGGAATTGTTTCTGGAGAGACTAGGTTCCCCTCCAGAATGCTCCTGGGGGCTGGGGATGGCTTTGATGGCCCAGACAGGTCTCAGATGCTCTGTGAGGGACAGACATTGATGGCGCAGATGTCTTCCTGTTTATTAGAGGTGCACTTCAGGGCAGGCCCAAGGAACAAGTTTATACCAAAGACAAGGGGGAGAAGCTCCTGGGCTTCACTCCCTCTGTGGAGGCCTCATGCTGTCACACTGCTCAGAGACCCCAGGGCTAGAGGTGGTTTGCTAGGGAAAAGTGAGATTATTTTCTGAAAAACATCAACTCTTTGGTTTATGGCCTGCAATTGCCATGTTGCTTTTTGGAAAAAAAGCATGTACAAGGCATGAGACCCTTGCAAATAGCCAACGCCTCTGGAATGGGGCTCCCTGGCTTAGTCTGTTAGGGAGCCTTCTCATACCTAGGAGCCCTTGTGATACTGCAATTCACCTCCAGTCAGCCTGGAAGCACACAGGGAGCTGACGCTGTGTCCCTGGGGTCAGGGCCAATGGAGGTGCTGTTTCTCATAGCAACCTCCTGCCCTTCCAACAGGAAGTTAGAGCCTTTGAACCACCAACCAAAGTCCCTGATGTCAGAGAGTGAGAGAGAGAGAGAGAGAGAGAGAGAGAGAGAGTGTGTGTGTGTGTGTGTGTGTGTAGCAGGAGAGTAGGGCAGAAGAGGAACAGAATCATATTGCCCATTCCCCTTGGGACTGGCAGTCCCCATTTTTAGGGGTGAGAGGAGGGCAGCTGGGGTTAGGAGGATCACTTTGGGTCTGGGAGACCATGAAGGCAGTCCTATCTGAGGACCTGACCTATGATAGAAGTGTCATTAGTAACATCTATACTAACCTCTAGATATAACAGGAGCACAACTCATGGATAAACTTGAATGGATGTGTTTAGAACAAGTGAATAGCAGTAAGTCCTGTGCAATCCCCAAATAGAAGCAAGTTTTCATAAGCCCTTCACAACCTTCCACACCTAAAGGGTTATAATCTTCTTCCTCAACATGCTCACAGTGCCCTCTGGTGTTTGACAGTAAAACATCAGGCTTATGAACGCAGGGTTTGAGCACATCCAACAATTCAGTAGACATCAGACTGCCTCTGCATGTGGGGTCCCGAGCCAGACACCATGAGGGGGAGAAAGGTTAATAAGACAGAAAGGTCCCTTCCCATAAGGGGCTTCCAATCTAGAGGGAGAGACAATTATGGGACCAGATGGAGAATGACATAGGCTATAATAGGGGTATAAGCAGAGCTCAGGGAGAGTGCCTAGGGATGAAGAAGTGACCCTTATGCTGGATCCATCAGGCTGAGGATAGAGGTTATGGCTCTCCAGACTGCAAAGCTCATGCTCAGGGCCCAGTATTTCAGGGTAGCCATGGCAGAGTGCCCATGGAAGGGCTTAGATGTCCATCTCAGCGGGAGCCATCCTAAGTAAAGAGCTAGCAGATGTTTTATGGCAATTAACAGAAGAGTTAAGGATGGATATGCCAAGCAAAGCAAGTGGATATAGGAAACCATGCAGAGAGAAGGCTTTTGCTGCAGTCCTGTGAGGCACAGGGGTCTGAGCTCAACACTGGCAGTGGGATGGAGAGGAAGGCAAACATTTGAAAAATAGTCAAATTGACAAGAAAGAGGGTGGTTGAGCAGAAAAGGAAACATAAGGAGATTCTGAGGTTTCTGGCCCTAGTTCATGGTTCCCACAAAGGTAAGAATTAGAGGAAGCGGAGCAGGTGCTTTGGGGAATTTTTATTTGATGTCTATTCCTACCCTCCCCAAGTGAACTATATGTTCTAGGTCCTAGGTTATAAAATGGTAATTAATTCTAATAGACACATCATTTGTGAAAACAGGTATTTAAAATATACAAGATGAGGGCTTCCCTGGTGGCGCCGTGGTTGAGAGTCCGCCTGCCGATGCAGGGGACACAGGTTCGTGCCCCGGTCCGGGAAGATCCCATATGCCGCGGAGCGGCTGGGCCTGTGAGCCATGGCCGCTGAGCCTGCGCGTCCGGAGCCTGTGCTCTGCAACGGGAGAGGCCACAACAGTGAGAGGCCTGCATACCGCAAAAATTAATAAATAAATAAATAAATAAAATAAAATATACAAGATGAGCCTGGGGCATCTTGTAGTGCCAAAAAGTAAAGAAGTGCTCAAAACCAAACCAAACCAAACAAAAATGAAACACACAATAATAGCAGTATGTGAAAAGGAATAGGAGTCCCAATGGCCAAAGCTAGAACAATCTGAGCAACAAAATAAAGTAGTATTGGATTATAAACCAAAGTATAATATACATATCCATGAGTCCACACTGATATACATGGTTGAATAAATAAATACGTGGGAGAGGATAGGTAAATCTCCCATGCTGAAGAATTCCAAATAATACATGTAGATAATCTGTCCTTAAAAAGGGAGGGGGCATAAATCCCCACTCATTAATTGTGGGCTGAACAGAGTGGCTTCTTTCCAAAATTTACAGTACATAAAGAGGGAAAAGGAGTAACTTTTTCTGGAAAAACTTGGCAAACACTAACTTGGCCAGATGACCAAGATCAACATCAACAGTGATAAGTCATGTTGATCGTATGTAACTTCAATTTGATGCGATGAAAATGGCACTTTACCTGTGTGGTCTTCCTCCCTCAAACCCATAACTCCAGTCTAATCATAAGAAAAACATCAAGGACTTCCCTGGTGGCCCAGTGGTTAAGAATCCGCCTGCCAATGCAGGGGACATGGGTTCGAGCCCTGGTCCGGGAAGATCCCACATGCCACAGAGCAACTAAGCCCGTGTGCCACAACTACTGAGCCTGTGCTCTAGAGCCCATGAGGCACAACCACTGAAGTCCGCGCGCCTAGAGCCCGTGCTCAGCAACAAGAGAAGCCACTGCAATGAGAAGCCCGTGCACCTCAACAAAGAGTAGCCCCTGCTCTCCGCAACTAGAGAAAGCCAGCATGCAGCAACAAAGACCCAATGCAGCCAAAAATAAATTTTAAAAAGAAAAGAAAAGAAAAACATCAGACAAATCCCAATTGAGGGGCACTCTACAAAACACCTGACCAGGGCTTTCCTGGTGGCGCAGTGGTTAAGAATCTGCCTGCCAATACAGGGGACACGGGTTTGAGCCCTGGTCTGGGAAGATCCCACATGTCACGGAGCAACTAAGCCCGTGTACCACAACTACTGAGCCTGTGCACTACAGCCCGTGAACCACAACTACTGAGCCCATGTGCCACAACTACTGAAGCCCGTGTGCCTGTGCTCCACAACAAGAGGAACCACCGCAATGAGAAGCCCGCGCACTGCAATGAAGAGTAACCCCCACTCGCCGCAACTAGAGAAAGCCTGCGTGCAGCAATGAAGACCCAACGCAGCCAAAAATAAAGTAAATGAATTTATTTTTTAAAAAAGGGAATAAACAATGAACAGGAGGACTTCCCTGGTGGCACAGTGGTTAAGAATCAGCCTCCCGATGCGGGGGACACGGATTTGAGCCCTGGTCTGGGAAGATCCCACATGCCGCGGAGCAGCTAAGCCCGTGTGCCACAACTACTGAGCCTCCGCTCTAGAGCCCGTGAGCCACAACTACTGAGCCTGAGTGCCACAACTACTGAAGCCCGCGCACCCTAGAGCCCATGCTCTGCAACAAGAGAAGCCACCGCAATGAGAAGCCCATGCACTGCAATGAAGAGTAGCCCCCACTCGCCACAACTAGAGAAAGCCCACGTGCGGCAATGAAGACCCAATGCAGCAAAAATAAGTAAATTTTAAAAAAAATGTACAGGTGAGGAAAAATAGTCATAGTGTACCACTTGACTCAGCACTGAAGGTTAATTTAACAAAAATTGTGATGCAATTATAAAAGATGGAAGGAATGAACATGGGAAGGTTTTAAAGGTGCTAGATCTTTATGTAATATGATAGTACGTCAAAAATGTCTAAGATTAATATATCAAGAAATGGCTAAAAAATGTGCAGAGTAGTTGCCTTTAGGGAATAGGACTGGGGGTAGTGAAGGATGAATCAAGAGAGTATTTTTCATTATAATCCCTTTAGTATTTCTTGATTTCTTTTTAAAGTATTATTTTGACCCCCACCGCCTCCTTGTGATTCCAAATAAATCTGGTCAAATCCAAATCACTGTGCACATTCAGATGTAAGTCTCCGGGGGTCAGCAACATTTAAACCAAGTTCGCAGTGAGACCCTGCGAACTCGGCACCTGGCAATGGTCCTGAGTTTCCCCCACTAATCCAAATCCCACAAAATCATTAAAAACAAACAAATGTTCTATTCAATTTATCCCAAGACCTTCTGCCAGGTTTCTGTCCTAGCTGTCTTGCTTAATGTCCTGGCATGGCCCCCTTACCTGAGCTAGAAATGCCCGAGCCACCAGACAGGAGGGTTTGAGTGGAGGTGTGTTAGGGTTAGGAAGGTATGCTAAAGACCAGGCTGCCTGGAGTGAGTGGAGCCCCTTCTGTCTCACGTGAGCACGGCAGTCCCTGGCCTTTGAGTCCAGGGCGCCAAGCCTTGCAATAGTGGCCTATTCTCAGTCCAGTGTGTTCTCCTTTGCTGGCTCACTTTCCTGATGAGATCCTGTGTGTTTATTTGCACAACGATGAAATTTCTGTCCCCGCAAAGTCGATTTATCTGCAAAATACTTCCCTCCAAAGCAACATGTCTAATTGAAAGTTCTACACTTAATTCACTGAATTTTATAGAGTAGAAAGGTGCATTTTCCTATTCCTTCACTCTAACCTCCAGATTCCTTAGTATGCTAGATAAATTCCAGAGTGAATGCTTAAGGAGACACCAATGGAGAGAAAACGTTTATTTGTATAATAACAAACGTGGGTGAAGTCAGAAGAGGTATATGAGAACAAGATCAAGGTGGAATAATCTTGCTGGAAAAAGAAGAGTAGAAAAGGCCCTCTGGGAATCAGGCAGAAAGAGCAGAGGTGCTCTCAAAGCCACAAATGCATCCTGTGGTTGGCATCAGGACTCTGCTCTGAACTCAAGTTCCCCTGGGACTTCTCTTTCTTTGGTTCAGAGTCTCACTGCTAGCCCCCTTTCCTTGGCTCACAGTGCCAAAGTGTTCCCTCCCTCAAACCTGACGGAGGAACACAGCTTTGTACTCAAATGTGCTTGGCAGCGACTAATCAGAAACTGTTACTTGGACTTTTTGCAGCTCTTAGTGATCTTGACACCCTTGGATCGCCAGGAGTGGCCCCTCGTCCTGCAACCAGAGGACTCTGGTTTTTCTAATGAGGAAGAGCCTGGTCAGTCAGTCGAAGAAGGGCCCGGATTCTCTTCCAGGCTGGTGTCTCTGCAAAAATGCCCCCTGGAGTGGAAAGTGCTGTTGCAACAGGGGATGTCACCTGAGTTTTCAGGTGTGTAGTCTGTGGTGAAAGAAAGGTGGGAGAGGCAAACTCGACCCTCTGTCTCTCTCCCAGGCACAGGTCCTTATGCCCCTCCCTAGCCGCTTTCCTCCCCAAACTAAAGTACCAACTAAAAGTCCCCATCTGATAGCACACCCTCCTCCTTTCCCAGGCACCATAAGTCCCCCGGACCCCTGACCCCCACCCCAGTTCTGAGACCAGACCACCCCTCCAGTCCCACCTGTGGCTTCAGCAGCAGGCGCACACTCCTCGCACTCCCATTTCTTACAGCTGGATATGAGAGAGGAGCAGTCCCTATGGGTTCCGTGGGATCCACAGGTAGCACACAGAATGAGGCTCCACTTCCTATAGGAAGAGCCAAGCGAGGGTTGTGGGACAAATTTAACACTCACTACCACTCTTGGAATGTTCGCTGCAGGCCAGGCCTTTGATGAGGGCTCCCTAGGTATCTTTACTACACATTTTACCCGTGACAGAGATGTGGCTGAGTGCTGATCCCAAGACCTGCCGTCAGGCACAGCCACTCGCAAGGTAGATCGTGGAAGGAACTGGCCCTGAGTGTCTCTCCATGGGGCACAAGGAGAGTAGACCCTGCAGAGAGACCTGTTCACTTGTACATGAGTGAGTCCTGAGCTGATTAAGGATGGGACTCGGCAGCTATGTTCATCCTGAGGTCTGTAGACAAAAGTAAATTTCTTGCGCTTGATAACTGTGCAAGATCTAAGATGGCCCTGATGAGAGATCTTTCTGGCTATGAGGCTTTTCCTACCCTTCATCCTCAAAGCTGTCTCTGCCTTGTTCATACACACAGATGGGGGCATCACAATGCTGATAGCGCTCATACAACTCCGAGAAAGCCCCTGGCTCAAGTTCCCAGGCAGCGTCTCTGCAGTGGGAGAAGAAACAGTGAGTAAGGGACATATAATCAGGTGGTAAAACTTTTGTTCAACAGAACAAAGAAGTTCAACAGATTGCCTGAATACTTTCAGCAAGGCGGGGCTAGTGGCCTGGCAGTGGGAGAGGGATGAAGCAGATAAGTGGAACACAGGTGTTCCTTAGTTCCACACTGGAATTCAAGAACTCAAGGAATTCTGACCCCCAAAGCACCTTTTTCAGAAACACGCCCACCACCCCTGCTTCACCCTCCCCCCATTTCTTTTTATAATTGAAAAGCTCTCCCTCCACCCTTCCCTCTTCACTGAACATCAGTGCTTCTGCTGCTTCCTCATTCTCTGAACTATCTTCACACTCACCTTCTCTCTAGAAACCTAGGCAACCCACTTCCTGGCTCAATTCCTGCTGTAAAGTTTCTACTACCTGTCTGGAATATGAATTCCCATTCTTAGCATTTCTTGAGGAAATTCTTCTCGATTGTTGCAATGTGGACATTTGAAGAAATGCTTTGCTGATGTGTGGGCATATTTCTGTAAGATAAACATGGAAGATAGTGTTTGTAAAAACACTATCTTTGCACACATTCTTCCCACCCCACACCCTCGTCTCACAAAGAGGATGTTGCTAGGAGAGCTTGACTAAGGGTTACAGGACAAGGAATATGGATGGGCTGAGGAGAGGGCTGCAAATCCAGGCGTCAGACCAGGGACCAAAAGCTCAAGAGAGTGCCCAGGAGTGCCTCAGCTGTCATCTCCAGTCATGGGGCCTGGCAGTGCTCGACCCAGTAGGGGTCAGGTACCAAGAATACACATTTCCCTTTCCTTCAATCCCAGGAAGCATGGCTGATTTTGAGGCTACTTGACTCATTCTAGGATAAACTCATTCGCTCCAGCCATCCTGAGAATTTTGTTCAGTCTAAATCTTATGATAAAGTCCTACAGGTCAAGGATACCCAGAGACCAGGCTAACTTTCCTCTGGAATCAGTCCTGTATACAGGCCTGCAGCACAGAGCACAAAAGCTGAGATTGCCTGTGCATTCCCAGGGTGCTCAGAACTGGGCCGTTGTGGAGGGTCCCCAGTCCAGGGAAAGCCCCACCTGTATGCACTTGCGGTGGTAGATAGTTTGGCTACAGCACGGACTCTGGATGTTTTCAACACTTGCTTGGGCTAAGTCTTCGCAGCACAAGACACAGCTTTCCTCCCCCACATTCTCCCATCGGATGTCCTGTGTTGGGCGATGTTTCCCACAAAATGATCTGTGGTAGAGTAAATAGACTTGGTTTCTGGTTTGTCACTGATGCAGTTTTCCAGCTGCCCGGCCTAGGAAGGGCAATCAACCACCCAGGCCAGTGTCCACTGAACCTCCACGCTAATGGGGGAGGAGGAGAAGCAGGGCGAAGAACAGCCACATTCCTTCTCATAGCTGCTTTCCCACTGAGCAAAGCTCCCGGGACTGTCTCCACAGCCTCCTGCTCCTGAAAGCCCCACTTAGTTCTGAGCAGCTAAGAACCCCTGCTGTTTGTAATTTAAGGAGGGGATGGGAAGCAAGAAGCAACCCCTGTGAAATCGCCAAGTCAAGATACTGTTTCTCATTATTGAATGGAGGAACAGATTCTCTGGTGAATCAAAACATGAGAACTGGACTCTGATTTCATTAGATGCTAAATAACAAATAGCAAAAGGGCAGCCCAACTTTCCTCCTTCATCACTCACTTGTACTCTCCAAAAAATTGTGAAAGGCAACCCCTTTCCTGGCCACAAGGAAAATGGAAGTTCCTGAGGCACTGATCCTTCTGGCAGTTGATGGCAGCTCCCTTTTTCTTGCACACAAAGCAGATCTGCAAATGAGATCCCAGGCAGTGCTCAGGGCCCTAAAACAGACAGACATTCTGTGGCACATCATTCTACGGAACGGAAATTTTTTGAAGCAACAGCCATTCTTCTTCCTCAGTGGACCTAGAAGCTCTAGGGTATGCCGAAGCTGAGCTCCAAGCAGCACTGAATTCTTTTTGGCTTTCTCAGGATGTTGCTCCCTCTCCTCACTTAGGATACTACACCCTAGAGAAGCATGGAACTTAAGAGAAGGACCAGTGGGAAATTCAAGAGTCCTCTGACTTTTAAACTAGCAACTAGGAAAAAGAATAGAAACAGGGATGATGAGAGGAGTATGAGAAGAGGCCTACCCCAAGGCCCCCATTTCAGGGGATTCTAACCTTCTTAGAGGCCCGGGATGCCTCCTTTTTGATGTCCTCAGGCAGGAATCCATAGAAACCTCTATTGGACTGGCCCCTCTGAGGCAGCTTGCTAGATAGGATCTAGAAGGTCAGCAGAACCAGGCTGTCAACACTGATGATCAGTGAAACAGTGCAGTGAGTGATGACAGGGTAAGAGAGCTGAGAAACAGAGCTTGGTGGAATATATATGCATTTACAGGGTAATTCATTTACTTAACAAGCCCTTACATAGCATAAGTGTTGGGTGCTCTAAGTGCTTTTCAAGTATGAACTCATTTAATCCTTGTAACAACCTTAAGAGGTAGGTACTATCATCATCCCCATTTTATAGGAGAAATAACGTGACAGGATCAAGAGCCCAGAACCTGGGCTCTTACCCACCTTTGTGCTACTCTGCCTTTCATTCACTGAGCACTACTTTTGTGTGCTGAGCACTTTGGAGAAACATTCCCTGTGTAGTGACTCATTGTCTGCTCACCACAACCCTGTGATACAGATGCCATTGTGATCCTCATCTTAGAGCCCACTGAGGTGTAGCGCAGCAAGTGACCCGGCTGGGGTCACCCAGAAAGGAGGCAGCAGAGTCGCCTTCACATGTGAGCCCACAGAACCCACACTCTCACTCTCCCGCTGTACTGCCCCTCAGTACAGAATAAATACTCTTCTCAGAGTGTATTCTCCACAGAAAGGGAAACAGGGCTTTCAAATCTCCTGACTGTAGTCATTCTGCCTTATAGGGGAAGGGGAGGAATTGAACTTTTCTTTAAAAACATACTTTAAAGGACCTTTTGTTTCTGAAAAGCCCCCAAAGCAGAGTCTAGAATGGGAAATCAAGGGAAAAGAAGCTAAACTGTTAGGTACCCATGAACAATGAATGTGTACATACTTTGGAAGAATGTCATACCTGAGCCCCACCCCAAGAAGCTTCCAAAAATATTAAGGAGGGTGCTGGACCTACTGCAGCAGTTACATGTAATATGTAATGGGGGCTGAGGTTATCTTAACATTATAGAAAAAGTGAGCCTACGAGGTTATCTTATTTTAACATTATAGAAAAAGTGAGCCTACAAGGTTGGATGACTTGAGGATGCTTGAATTATATCCCAATTAGGCTTAAAACATATCTATGTTAACAGTCTCTCAAGGCTTTAGGACTATATGAGTCCTTTTAAGTGTTATTAATATTTTCTACAATGAACATGTATAATTTCTACAAACAGAAAAATCAGTAGTGAAAGATTAAAAATAATCTAAATGTCCTTTAACAGGAGTTTAATACTTTTTGGTACACCTGTACCATGGAATACCAATTAGCTATTAAAAAAGTGTTCTATATGGAAACAGCTCCATAAATATATGAGGTAAAAAAAAGTAAAATACAAAACACTGTGTATAGTATGTTGAAAATTATATGCTTATAAATGCATTGAAATTAAACAAGACCTGACACCAAAACAAGACAGAACTTACAGGAGTGTAAAAGCACACACCAATTTTTCTTATGAGCATAGATACAAAAATGAAACAAAATATTGAATCCAGCACCATATAAAAAGGATTATACATCATGACCAGGCAGAATTTGTACCAGAAATGCAAGATTAGCTTAACATTGAAGTATTCAATCAATGTAACAAACCACATTCACAAAATAAAGAAGAAAAATCATGATCATCTCAACAGATGCAGAAAAAGCATCTGACAAATTCAGCACACATTCATAATACCCTCAGCAAACCAGAAATAAAAGGGAACTTCTCCAATCTGATAAAAAGCATCTAAGAAAAACCTACAGCTGACATCATATTTAATGGTGAAAAATTGGATGCTGTCCTCTAATGTTAGGAACAAGACACAATATTCACTCATACAACTTCTTTTCAATACTAGATTGAAGTTCCCAGCTATTACAATAAGGCAAGAAGAAGAATTAAAAGACATAAAGATTGGAAAGAAAGAACTGCCTTTATTCACACGTGATTGTATACACAGGAAATCCTAAGGCATTTACAAAAAAATTAAAAAATAAAAACTACTGAACTAATAAGTGAATTTAACAAGATTGCAGATACAAAATCAATGTACAAAAATAAACTGCATTTCTGTACACCAGCAACAAACTTGAAATGAAATTTTAAAATACCATTTATAATAGCATAGAAATCACAAAATATTTAGGAATACATTTAACAAAATATGTGCAAGACTTCTTCACTAAAAAAAAAATTGCTGAGATAAATTTTAAAAGACACAAATTAATGGGGAAATATATCATGTCCATGGACTGGAAGATTCAATATTGTTTGTCAATTCTTCCCAAATTGATCCATAAATTCAATGCAATCCCTATCACTATCCCAACAGGCTTTTTTTTAAACGAAAAATTGACAAACTAAATATAAAATGTATATGGAAAAGGAAAGCACCCGATAGCCAAAGCAATCTTGGAAAAGACTGCAGAACAAGACTTAATTTCAAGATGCTGTAAAGCCACAATAATCAAAACAGTGTGGTATTGGTAAGGATCAACACACAGATCTATGACATAAAATAAATCATCCAGATCCACAGATACATGGTCAACTGATTTTGACAAAGGCACTGAGGTAATTCAATGGGTAGGCAAAGATTTCTTGGGACACACAAACAAGCACTAACCATAAAAGGAAAAATAGATAAACTGGACTTCATCAAAATTAAAAACTTTTGTTCTTCGAAAGATATCATGAAGAAAATAAAAAGGCAGGGGGAAGGGGCAGCAGGCACCATGTTGGGCCATGAAGGTGGCAAGAAGTCCTTGAAGCAGCCCAAGAAGCAAGCCAAGGAGATGGGGAAGGAAGATAAGGCACTCAAGCAGAAAAAGGAGGAGGAGCAGAAGAAACTCGAGGAGCTAAAAGGGAAGGGTGCGGGTAAAGGCCCCCTGGCCACAGGTGGAATTAAGAAATCTGGCAAAAAGTAAGCTGTTCCTGGAATTCCTTGGTGGTCCAGTGGTTAAGACTTGGCGCTTTCACTGCCACGGGCCCGGGTTCGATGCCTGGCCAGGGAACTAAGATCCCACAAGCTGCACAGCATGGCCAAAAAATAAGTAAAATAAAATTTTTAAAAAGTAAGCTGTTCCTTGTGCCTGAGGCAATGATGATTCCATTCCTGTTTAAACATCTGGATTCCCTGCCATAACATCTGTCACCACCTATAGCTATAGCTTGGAAACTTTTGTACATTTAAGAATAAATTTTTGTAAAAAAAAAAGAAAATCATACAGTGGCTCATCTTGTCTATAGTTTTTCTCAGCCATTTTCTACCTTAGCTATGAGATCCGCATAAACCCAGCGCAGAATCCTGCCAAAGTGTGTTCCTAAGTCCTTGTTCTATCCTGAATTCTGCATCACCTGGAACGAAACCAACTCATTTGAAAAATAAAAAGAAAATTAAAAGGCAAATCACAGACTGGGAGAAAACAGTAAAAACACACATCTCTGAAAAAGGATTTGTAGCCAGAATATACCTGTGCCCCCGGCAATGGAAGTGCGGAGTCTTGACCACTGGACTGCCAGGGAAATCCCAAAACAACTCAACTTCTAAAATGGACAAAATATTTGTACCTACACTTCACAAACGGAAATATGTGAATGGCCAATAAGCACACAAAAAGAAGCTCAACATTTTAGGTCATCAGAAAAATGCAAATTAAAACAGCAATGAGATACCAAAACACACTTAGTAGAATGGCTAAAATTAAAAAGACTAACAACAACAAGTTGGGACAAGAATATTGTGCAAACAGAAATCTCATAAATTGCTAGTGGGATTGTAAACTGGTACAACCACTTTGGAAAGTGATCTGTCAACTTCACACAAAGTTAAACATAGTTAGTAATTTCACTCCTAGACATTCGCCCAAGAGAAGTGAAAACATGTTTTCACACAAAAAATTGTACATGAATATGCGTAGCAGCTTTATTCATAATAGCCCCCAAATGAAAACAATTCAAATGTCCATCAGCAGGTGGATAAATAAGCAAATTATAATATATTCATACAACAGAATATAACTACACAATAAAAAGGCACAAGCTACCGACGCATGCAACATGGATCAGTCTTTAAAACACTGTGTTGAGTGAAAGAAGCCAGACACAAAAGAGTACAAATTGTATGGTTTCATTTATATGAAGTATAAGAATAGGCAAAAGTAACCTATGGATCAGAACAGTGATCACCTCTGAGGGAACTGACTGGAAGAGGGTAGGAGGGAATTTCTGGCCTGATAGAAATAATTATTTTGATGGGGGTAGTGTTTACATGGGGACATACTTTATATCCCCATGATATATGAGTTTATCAAAACTCATCAAACTGTATTCTTAAATGGGTACATTCTATAGCATGCAAACTATACGTAATTTTAAAAGAATATCAGGAAAAAATAGCTGGAAGAACTGTTGGTAGAATTTGCTGCTGGGGAGAGGGAGAAGGACTGGGAATACTACTAGGGGAAGAGACTTTCTATTGTACATACTTTATACTGTTAGGATTTTACACCAGGTACACACATTACTTTTTAAAAATTAGATTTTAAAAGAAAAAAGCCATTAAGAAAAACAAGCAAACAGGGCAATGGATCTGAGGCTGGATGCAAAAACAGAGCACAGACTGTACAGCAAAGCCATAGGACATTCAAAGCAAAGGGGGCCTTATACTCACAAGACAGAAATAATGCACACTGAGATTGTCTTTCTGAAGAAATTCCCCTAATTTTTCGGGATCCCCAGGTTCTTGAAGGCATAGCCGGCAAACTGGAAGAAAGGATGTTAGGAATTCATTTTGGGAGCATAACGATCTAAGTATAAGGAGGAGTACAGTACTGGGAAGAGGGTCATTTTGACAAGGGATGAAGTGTTATTTGATATCAGTTAGGTTTTCATATAATTTTAGCCACATCTGAGGGAGTTGGCTGCAACTGCTCACTGAGATAAAAGATATACTTTTATCTCAAGTGGCTTTAATTAACTTGTTCCTTGAACTTTGGACATGACATTTAAAAATTACAGTCTCTGAGTTCTTCAGGATCTTAGAGATTCTGGGAAGGAACTGACAGTGAGAAGAGCAAGTTTGCTGCCCTACACAAATGGCCTTTGCTGAGGTCGGGAGGCAGCAGCCAAACAGAACCTCCAGTCTTTCTTACCAGGCCCTGAAGAAGGCTTCCTCTGGGTTACTCTCCTTGTCTTGGCAGATTTTCTATACAAGAGATGGAAAAAGTACAAGGTAGTCTTTGAGGATCCTGTTGGCATCTCTTGTAACATTTCCCTCAAAATGCTATCCATGGGTCTGATGAAGGACCAAAATAGCTAAAGACTAAGACATCAGTTTTCTTCTTCCCTTTCATATTTTTTGAAAGCACAAAACATGCCCATGGAATTATGTGAATTAAGTGAGATCATAGCCATCTTTCTGTTCTAGTGCCTCTATTGCCTGTGTTGACTGAATGAATGCAAGAACAAACCCCCTTTTATTCTTTTACTGTTTCTCCTGTCACCTACCCTGAATCTCAGGTAGTACCATGTTCACAAGGCATAATAAAATGATACTAAAATTGATTAAGAATTTCCTATTGCTAGGCAATATTCTTGGCTCTTTATATGTATTAGCTCAGTGAATCTACAGAATGTTCTAAAAAGTGGGTGCTATTATTATGCATTTTCCAGATGAGGAAACTGAGGCCTAAAGAAATGAAATAACCTGTCCCAGGTCACCTAGTTAGCAAGTGTTAGAGCCAGGATATGACTCTAGGCAGAAAGGCTCCACAGCCAGGACTTTGCCAGTAGGGACATCCCTGGGAGGATAGGTTACTGGGCAGCTTCCCAGGGACCACTGGTGTATGCTTCAACACTAACCAACCTTAGCCTCCAAGACCAAGCAAAGGGGACAAAAAATGAAGCATATACTACAGGCCATTGGACAATTTCTCCCAAACTCTCTTAAGTTGCCTACTCTACCTCAATCTTTGATGTTGCTTCTTCTTTCCTTTTATAGTCTTCATTTGCTGCTGCCTATCTTGAATTCTTCTATACTATAATGAGAACAATACCGGCTCTTCCAGCTATAAGTATAAACAAGTCAGCAATTAATTCTACATTTGGTTATCAAGTTCCACAGGATCAAAGCAACAGTGCGCTTCACCTCCCCATCCATGTGACAGAATAAAAGCGACACGCCCAGTATCAACGCCAGTAATAGCCAATAATTATTAAATCATGCCCAGAACTGTTCTGGGCATTTTACATTCAACTCGAAAACCCCCCTGGCAATAGGTACCATTTTATCCCTATTTTCAAGATGAGACTGAGGCACAGAGAGGTCACACACAGGCATTTGCTCAAGATCACAGTTACTGATACACCACAGCGGTATGAGAACTTGGAACTATTGCTTGAACTGGCTAACTTGTTCTTTGTTCTCTTTGTGCCTACTAAATGTATGAGGTAGCACTCAGGAAAAATGCCTCCTTCTGCCCCCAAGTTTAAGTTCCTTAATTCCACCCAGGAAAAGCTAGATTAGGTAGCTCTTTCCTAGGAAAAGGAGCCTGTGAGATTCTGGCTGCCTAAAGCGAGAACTCCCTCTAGTGAGAGCCAAGATATAACCCTGACAAATCACCCCTTGGCTCCTATTGTTTCTTTTCACCAGGCTCAGATGATCACTGAGGTCTGGCCTGTTCTCAGCCTTCCTCTAGATGTGAACCAAGGTTAAAAGGCCCAGAAGTGGAAAAGACACCCTGCCACTCCTCCCCCGACCAATGTCAGCTGGCTATAAATTCAGTTTTCATTGGTTAAGGGGGAAATCCCTGAATGGGAAGGGGGACAAAAGAAATAAAAAGCACTCCTCTGAAAGAAGGACTGTGTCAAGTCAGGGGAGAGGAGAAGGATAGCATTTCTTAGGAGAATTGAGTGAATTAAGTCAGTCCAGGGACACACACTCCAGTACCCATGTCCTCAGGCCACAGCTGGAGAGCATGAACATCTTTAGGGCCTGTCAACTATTCTGCATGAACGTAACTACTCTGGCAACTAGCTATTCTGCAAACTAAGGCTCCATCTCCTCTTCTAACCCATGAGTTGCACTTGCATTGGTAATGACACTTGATGGCTTTTTCCTCAACAAAAGCACTTGGACAGGCTGGAAGAGGAGAGAGAAGGGCGTGCACTAGGGGATCCACTTTAGCTGGCTACTGAACAGTTCCGAGTCATTGGGGAAATCCAGATCTAGCAATAGAAATAAAACCTTGAAACGTCAGTTCTTTGAATCGCTGGACCAAGACGTTCCTTGAGCGGGATCCTACACACAGTGGTAGTTACAGGAAGACGCAAGGATCTTCAAAGCATGCGAGGAGGACGTTGCAAATGCTGGCTTCCACAAGCTGCTCAGTCTGAGATTTCCTAACCGAGCGGATGCTCCCTTGAAACGATTACCGAGTTGTTTCACTGGGTAAGTGCTGGGTAAAACTTGTTGAGAAAGTTAAAAATAAATAAGCGTGTTCGGCCCCGCCACCGCAAGAATAAACAATGATTTATTTGGAAAATACGAGTCGGTGTGGCCACAACCATCCCCCAGAGGTAACAGCCGAAGAAGGGGCTCAAGGAGCATCCCGCAGATGCCAGACCAGGCTCATGTCGCGCCTGCCGGGCTGCTGGTGCGAGGCCGGGCCGGAGGTCGCCTCGGCCGCTCACTCCTCACGGTAGCGCACGGGCGGCCGCTCCCGGCCGGGGCCGCCCGCCCAGCTGTCGCCCAGGGCGCCGCTGTCCCGGAGCTTTATTCGTTGCCGCAAGCCGTGGTAGCTACCTCACGGGCCGCCGCCCCGCGCGGTGACTGCGCCGGCGAAGGGAGTGACAACGCAAACGGACACTGGGTCACGCGGACTGCGACCCACAGAGCCTGCAGCCGCGGGGAGCACAGCGACGCTGACAGTTGCGTAGAGTGGGACCGCTAACCGTAGCGCGCTAACGACCGCGCGCCTGCCCCGCCCCTTCTCGCCCCACCGGCGCTCTAGCTCCGCCCCGACCTCTCGCCCTGCACTCCCGCGCGAGTTCGCCGGCGTCTGGAGTCGAAACTGCAGAAGACGAGGCCAGAGGCGGGGCGGCGATCGTCGCGCAGAGGTGACGTAGTGCCGCCGGCGCGGGCGGGTGACGCGACGGGGCCCGTTGTCTGTGTGTGGGGCTAGGGGCCCCGGGGGCGGCGGGGGCTCCCGGCGGGGGGCGGCGGTGGGTCGGGAGGGCCTGGACATGGCGCTGAGGGGCTGCCCCGCGGGAAGATGAATAAGGGCTGGCTGGAGCTGGAGAGCGACCCTGGTGAGGAGGGGACCGGGCAGGCCCGGAGCTGGGGAGGCCGGGTGGGTCCGAGACGCGCCTTTCTGACCACTACCCGCTCCTCTTGTCGCCCCACCCAGGCCTCTTCACCCTCCTGGTGGAAGATTTCGGTAAGAGCCTCTCCTACGCGCCGGAACCAGGCTGTGGGGGCCCACTCCTGGGCCCTCGCTCCACAGCCAGAGGCTACCCTTCCCGACTTCTTTCCTTACCTGATCGCAGGTGTCAAAGGGGTGCAGGTGGAGGAGATCTATGACCTTCAGAGCAAATGCCAGGGGTGAGTGGCTTGGCACGCGGCGTGGCTTCGGTCGCCCCTTACACCCCGAGGGCTAGGGAGGGACCCGGGAGAGAGTGCTCCTCAAGGGAGGAAGTATCAGAGGCTCCAAATTGTAAAATCTCGTATAAGGAAGCATCCCTCCTCTTTGGGTGCCTTCCTGATGAAGCTGGTGCTGTGCTTTTGTTCCTCCCAGTTTTCCCTCAACACTTCCCTTTATGTGGTAGCCTCTTCCCCTCAATACAGATTCTAACCATCTCTTGGATTAAATTCATCTGCTTTCTGGGGCCTTCCAGCCAGAAACCCCCTGCTCTTGACTCGGGTCACACTGTGCCTTTTGTGCAGCTGTAATTTATTAATGACTGCTTTACTGTGCCCATGTGCCAGTGGTTTTAATCCCCATACAGGGGTCTCATATTGATTGGTTGGTTTGTGGCATCTGACGAGGACTCTCCTGGGTGACCAAGGTCAGGGTCTTGTCTTGGTGGTCCTACAGAATAGAGGTGTGGAGGAACTGCTACAGTGACTAAACGGAGAAGTCTGCTTCTTTCCCTTTAGGAAAGAACAGACTGATATGGGTGTTCATTAACTTCCCTGATTGCACTGGGGCCCAGGCCCTGGGCTTCACAAGTGAGAATTAGTGTTTAAATTCCTCATCACATTTATTGTTCTCGCCTTACCTTCTGTTCCTACCCGGTCCTGAGCCATCGTTCCAGCTTTTCTTATCCCAGAACCATAGACTTCATAAGGATACTGGGTGACTCCTGGAGCATCACAGCCAGAGGCTGATGCTTGACTCTGCCTGCAGTGGGCTTCTGGGGTGCGAGGGCGCAGGGCCACTTTGGGCAGCGTTGGGAAGAAGCCAAGGGAGAGGTGGGATCACAGGAAGGGCACCTGAGTGGTAACACAGTGCAAAGGAATAGGGGAGAGGAAAGGGAATGCAGATTGCCTACCCCCACTTGACTGGTCTAGCTCTGTCCCTTACTTTCCCCAGCCCCGTGTATGGATTCATCTTCCTGTTCAAATGGATCGAAGAGCGCCGATCCCGTCGCAAGGTCTCTACCTTGGTGGATGATACATCTGTGATTGATGATGATATTGTGAATAACATGTTCTTTGCCCACCAGGTCTGCTGGGCTCTGTGTTCTTTCTGGAGGGTGGGATGCTGCCGTTTTCTTCGCTTGGAAAGTGGAAGTGGGGAAAGGCAGAAGGAACTGAGCTCTTATTCACTAAAAAAGGGAGTCTCTTTAGAGCAGGGTGATGTCTGAGTCCATTCTCCATGTCCCCAGACTCCTGATGGGTACTTAGTTGAGTGAACAAATGTTGGGTAAAGATGAGGGGAGTTGATGAGGATTGTCCAGACATGACTGTCCCTCTCTGAGTCCCCATTCCTGATGAGTATGGGCTTGGGGTGAGGGATGCTGTGGATGGGTGACTGTTCTTTGTTTCACAGCTGATCCCCAACTCTTGTGCCACTCATGCCCTGCTGAGCGTGCTCCTGAACTGCAGCAATGTGGACCTGGGGCCCACCCTGAGTCGCATGAAGGACTTCACCAAGGGCTTCAGCCCTGAGGTAGGCCACAGTGCCTTAATCCTGACTCAGCTGACTAGGCAGATGTGACCACCAGATCTACCACTGATAATGCCACTACACGGCATTTGGCACTATGAGGCTTTTTCAAATGATATTTACATTATATTTGACCTGTAAATTAATTGTGTAAGTCAACTTTTTTTTAAGGCCCAATTGTCAGAAAAGGAGATAGACCTAGGGAAGAGAGGAACGTTCCTTAAGTGAAACCTTATTAGGACTTTATCAGGCAATGTTGTTCTCCAGTGTCCACTGATTACTGTGCAAGGCCAGTACAGCCCATCTTTTGGGGGCTCCAGAGCTCTTTTCTGCCCCCACTAGGCCTTCAGGAGAGGCCACCTGTGCTTCTTCAAGTTCCTGGAATGCCCCCAGGCCTGCTCTCCTGAGCTCTGTTTCCCACCCGAGGCCTGCCTGAGAAGTTGCTCTGATGTGGCCTTATTTTCTTCCCTCTAGAGCAAAGGATATGCGATTGGCAATGCTCCAGAGTTGGCCAAGGCACATAATAGCCATGCCAGGTGTGTGGGAGCTGTGGGAACTGATGGGGGTGGGGGCAAGGAAGGGGGTTGTACCATTCTGGGCACTGACTGTGTCCTTCCCCAGGCCTGAGCCACGCCATCTCCCCGAGAAGCAGAATGGCCTTAGTGCTGTGCGGACCATGGAGGCATTCCACTTTGTCAGCTATGTGCCTATCACAGGCCGGCTTTTTGAGCTGGATGGGCTGAAGGTTTACCCCATTGACCATGGTAGGCACTCTGAGCTGGGGGCCCATTGGATTTCTCTGCTTACCTCCTAAGGAGGTGGGGCTCAAGGTCCTCAAGCACTTGGGACCCAGTGGTGGGGCGTGGCGGGGGTGTCTTGAAGACGTGGTTCTGGCAGGATGGCACCCTGTACTGCATTGTCCAACTGGCCCCTGATTCTCTGGGTCACCTTCTCTCCATCATCCTTCCAACTCCTGGCCTGCCCGAGCTCCGGGCTTCCTACCTACTGGCTCCTTGTCTTGGTTTCCCCAGGGCCTTGGGGGGAGGATGAGGAGTGGACAGACAAGGCCCGGAGGGTCATCATGGAGCGTATCGGCCTCGCCACTGCAGGGTAAGGGCCCTGAGCCTGCCCTACCTTCTGGAGCTGTGCCCCCATTGGGAGGGACACAGAAGAGGGAACCAAGGCAGAGAGAGGCCAGATGGCTTGTGCAAGGCCACGTGATGAACCTGGCAAGATCAGGATTAGATCTTGTGCTCCCAACTCTTTGCCCTATTTCCCACTCAGGCTGCGTGTGGCCTGCTTCAGGATAGCCTGGGGAGGGGCAGGCCCTGGTGGAGCCCCGGGTGGCCCACGTGTGCTGGCTCACTTCCTGACAGGCCCCTCAGGCAGCTTGTTGGAAGGCACCAGCTCAGGTGCCTGGTGTGCATGGCCAGCTACTGCCCGCCTGTTGGGGTGGGGCCTATACCTGTGGCTGCAGGTGTGACTTCAGGGAGCCCTGCCAGGAGATCTGCCTCAACCTGATGGCGGGGCCAGGGTGAGAGCTGCTCTCACGGCCACGGCTGTGACTGCAGGGAGCCCTACCATGACATCCGCTTCAACCTGATGGCGGTGGTGCCCGACCGCAGGATCAAGTATGAGGCCAGGCTGCACGTTCTGAAGGTGAACCGTCAAACAGTACTGGAGGCCCTGCAGCAGGTGGGTACCCCTCCTGCCCAGGCCCTGCCTAGCCCAGCCACCCACTCCTTCCCTCCACTGGGTCATCGGTGTCTGATTCCTACATTACTCTGTATTGTGGATCTGGGCTTCAATTAACCACTCCTTTCCTTTGCTCCCTTTGTGGGAAAGGTGATGGGACTTGGCATGGGGAAGGGGAGAATAGCCTCTGAAAGGAGGTTTGACTGTTGTTATTTCCCTTTAAGTGAGTGAGTAGAGCCAAGACCCTTAGCTATCCAAGGTAGAAGCTAGGGTCTGCCTTCACTCCTCCGCACCTTGGATTTTGATTTCAGCTGATTAGGGTAACGCAGCCAGAGCTGATTCAGACCCACAAGTCTCAAGAGTCACAGTTGCCTGAAGAGACCAAAGCAGTCAGCAGCAAGTCCCCTCTGGCCCTGGAAACAAGCAGGGCCCCAGCGGCCTCTGAGGGCACCCACACAGGTATTGGAGCCTCTCATGGGCCTCAGAGCCACCCCAAGCAGAGCAAGTCTTTTTCTGTGGAGGCACTTGGGCAGTGGTTCAGAGGCTCCTGCAGGAGGTCTGAAGCCTGGTACCTACAGCCCTCTCCCCTCGGAACATGGAGGAAGAGCAGTCCCTCCCTAAACAAAGGCACCTGGAAAGGGCTGCCATTACCACAGTCCCCAAAGCCTTCTCCTTAATGTATATTCCCTTTCTAGCCTCTCTAGAAGTTTTTTTCTTTCTGCCTCCTTTTTTTCATCTCATCCTTTTCCTTTCTCACTGTGGCCCCATGACTTAGAGCTTGCTGACTCCACCCATCAGCTGTCTCTGCTGTTCTTCTCTGAGAAGGGAAGGGGAGCAGTACTGTGCCCCAGGACTGGGGAGACAGTGGGCTGAGGACAGCTTTTCTTGAGGGTCTGGCTGAGAGGGTCTGGCTGAAAGTCCTGCCCATGCCCCTTGCCCTCTCAGATGGTGTGGAGGAGGTGGCTGGTTCGTGCCCACAAGCCCCGACCCACAGCCCTCCCAGCAAACCCAAGCTGGTGGTGAAGCCTCCGGGGAGCAGCATCAATGGGGTTCCCCCAAACCCCACTCCTATCGTCCAGCGGCTGCCAGCCTTTCTGGACAATCACAACTATGCCAAGTCCCCCATGCAGGTAAGCTGGGAGGATTCCCTCCAGGATTCTTTTGAGAGGTTGCAACAGGCACTTTCCTCAGGTGATTCATTGGTGTTTGCCTTCTGTCGGGGCCTAGGTAACCACGTTCCTCTGTCTGATTCTCAGAAGCCCCTATGATGGCAGGGGTTGATGGAGGCAGAGAGAGCTCCTCTGACTTTAAACTCAGTCTCATGGCTGTGGGGCTAAATGTTTAGGGCATGGGGTTGGATTCAGCTCTGGGGGTTGGGTTCTACTGGCAAAATAAATGCAGGTGTTTCAGGGCACTCTGTTTCTCTTAGAAGCCCTATGTAGGCAGGTAGTGTGGGTGGGCTCTGGAGCACCTGGAGGGAATCAGTGGACTGAACCCGGAGAGCCATGTTGGCTTCCTGGCTGTGGCTGCTGTGTCCAGCCTGGCTCATGGCCGCCCTGGGTCTCTGCCCCAGGAGGAGGAAGACCTGGCAGCAGGTGTGGGCCGCAGCCGAGTTCCAGTCCGCCCACCCCAGCAGTACTCAGATGACGAGGACGACTACGAGGATGACGAGGAGGATGACGTGCAGAACACCAACTCTGCCATCAGGTTAGCCCCAGCTCTGTAAGGCTGGAGACTGAGTGCTGCAGATCCTATCTTGAATCTTCCAGCCCAGAAAATGCCCTTCAGCAGATAATGCTGAATGCCTGCTGAGCGCAGGGCCCCGGGGAGGCTGACGTGAAGGGGCCGACTCCAGGTCCCAAGAAATTTTTGGAGGGCTTGGGCGAGGGCCGTGCACATTTAACCAGACATCAAGGGCTTTTGTCTAGGCCTTGGGAGATGGGGTGGGGGATATCTTTGCTGGAAGAACTGGCATTGGCAAAAGGCCAAAAGTGAGACAGCTGGAATAGAGGAGGTGTCCTTTGAGGACACCTGGCTGCAGCTGTCGAAGCTCAGTGTGCCAGCCTTGGCATGGCCAGGTCAGGCTGCTGGAGCTTCAGGGTCAGTCCCTGGAGGCCAAGATGTGTTCAGGTCATTCTGGGCGTTGCTGAACGTGGTCATCTGGCCCATTCCCTTGGCTTACCTTTCCTTGGGCCCCACAGGTATAAGCGAAAGGGGCCGGGGAAACCAGGGCCATTGAGTGGCTCTGGGGATGGGCAGCTGTCGGTGCTGCAGCCCAACACCATCAACGTCTTGGCCGAGAAGCTCAAAGAGTCCCAGAAAGACCTCTCAATTCCTCTGTCCATCAAGACGAGCAGCGGGGCCGGGAGTCCAGCTGTGGCAGTGCCCACGCACTCACAGCCCTCACCCACCCCCAGCAATGAGAGCACTGACACAGCCTCTGAGATCGGCAGCGCTTTCAATTCGCCACTACGCTCGCCTATCCGCTCGGCCAACCCCACGCGGCCTTCTAGCCCCGTCACCTCCCACATCTCCAAGGTGCTTTTTGGAGAGGACGACAGCCTGCTGCGTGTTGACTGCATACGCTACAATCGTGCTGTACGCGACCTGGGTCCTGTCATCAGCACGGGCCTGCTGCACCTGGCTGAGGACGGTGTGCTGAGTCCCCTGGCACTGACAGGTGGGCCTTGGGCTGGCTCACTGGCCTCCCAGTGGCGTACTGAGGAGGGAGGTGGCCAAGTGACCACCACGTGTCCTGCACTCTGATGGGTCTTCTCGTGCCTTCTCTTCCCAGAGAGTGGGAAGGGTTCCTCACCTTCCATCAGACCGAGCCAAGGCAGCCAGGGGTCTGGTAGCCCAGAGGAGAAAGAGGTGGTGGAGGCTGTGGATAGCAGAGAGAAGCCTGGGCTGGTCAGGCCTAGTGAGCCCTTGAGCGGGGAGAAGTACTCACCCAAGGTGAGCCCCTCTGCAGCTTTCTCTTCTAATACTGACAAGGGAAGGGCCTAGGGCACTGCTGCCCAGGTGCTGGGTTCCTAGTTGGTATTTTGGTGTGAAGGGTGGTGGCTGAAGCCAGGTGCCAGGAAGCCTGTCTGGGTTGGGTGGTGGCTGGGGCCTCAGTAGGCTCCCGGGACTCTGGCTGCTCGTCCTTGCCTCTAGCTGCCTGCTGGTAGTGGGGCTTTGGTGCTGGCCAGCCCCTGCACCACGGGTGCAATTGTTGGGTTTTGGCAGGAGCTGCTGGCACTGCTGAAGTGTGTGGAGGCTGAGATTGCAAACTACGAGGCCTGCCTCAAGGAAGAGGTGGAGAAGAGGAAGAAGTTCAAGGTGGGCCCTCTCTCCAGCTGCCTGGTCCTCTGCCCACCTGTCTTCCCAGAGGTGCGACCTGCTGGGGTCAGCTGGTGGCTGCTCTGGGGAGATGGCTGCAGCGTCCTCATGTCCTCACTCTTCTCTCCCACAGATCGACGACCAGAGAAGAACACACAACTACGATGAGTTCATCTGCACCTTCATCTCCATGCTGGCTCAGGAAGGTGAGGGGTCTCGCTGCTGCACCTTACCTGGCATGCCCTGCTCAGAGCCCTGGCCCTCAGGCCCCCTCCTTCAGGCCTCTGCTGGGGCTTGAGCAGACTGTAGTCTCAGGGAGGGCCGAGAGACCCTCAGCTTCTGACCGGAGGCTGTGGCCCGTTGAGCGAGTGGCTGCTGGGCATCCAGCCACCCGCTCAAGGGCCCGCGCCTCTCCACAGGCATGCTGGCCAACCTGGTGGAGCAGAACATCTCGGTGCGGCGGCGCCAGGGGGTCAGCATTGGCCGACTCCACAAGCAGCGGAAGCCTGACCGGCGGAAACGCTCACGCCCCTACAAGGCCAAGCGCCAGTGAGGACTGCTGGCCCTGACCCTGCCGCTCACTCTTGCCACATGGCCCTCACCAGGGCCCTCCCCTGCCCCACTCTCCCTCTTCCCAGTATTACCGAATAGTTCCAGTCAGAGAGCCCAGACCCTGGGAATAGGAGCCAGGCCAGGATTCTCTGCACGGTACCCCAGTGCCTGCCAGGGCAGGGCTGCCCCGTCATGCTCTGGAAGCAGGAGCTGGGGCACAGGGAGGTGCTGCAGCTTCCTCCACAGCCGGCTGTGGAGTGGCAGGACCTGGCCTTTCTGCCTGGGCAGCAGAATATATATTTTACCTACAGAGACGTCTATTTTTCTGGGCTCTAACCCATCTTGCCACCACTGTGTTGACATAGTCAGCTTCCTGATTCTGAGTTCTCTCCTAACAGCTGTCATCCTGGAGGGCCGGGGTCACTCCTGCAGGGTCACAGCTGGGGGCCCTGCTGCTCTGGCCCCAGTTGTCCCTGTTGCGAGAAAGCCAGGTCTGCTCTCCGTTCCTCCTGGGAGAGCTCCAAACTCAGGGACCTGGCTGCTGGGCTAGACTGGGAGTGGGGTATTCCAGCGGGGGCAGGGTGAGCAGCCTGCTTGGGTCCCATGGCCTAAGCAGAGAGGAGTGTTTGAGCTGTTTGGTGGCCTGGCTTTGGCCAGGCTTGGTAAGACTGCTCTCTGTGGCAAGGCCCTGGGCTCTTTGTCTTCAGTGTTGTGGCCCTGGCAAGGGGCCTGCTTTGGGCTCCTGGGCTCAGAGGAGCCTCTGCCCGCCCCTCAGTATTACCACGTCTCCCTCTTCTTAGAGACAGCAGAGACAGGGCTGCTTGCAGGAAGCTGGCACCACTCAGCTCTCCCTGCCATGCCAGCTTTCTCAGCTTCCGCAAGGCACTCAGGGTGGGGGACAATAGGACCAAGACAACCAGTTGGAGCCCCATGTTCCCAGAGGGCCTGATGCCAATGGCTGATGGGCCCAGCACTGCCTCTGGAGCTCAGGCCCCAAACAGCCCCATGGCCTCTTCTAGGTGGCTTTGAAGGTGATCCAGGCGGGCCCCTTATGTGTACATAGTGACCAGGGTGGGGGCCAGCTGCCTCTGCGCTAAGCATAGCCCGACCCCTCTGGCCCCTGTAAATATTGGACTAATGAATGAATAAAACTCTCCTAAAAAATTAGCCCTCCTGTACTTGCTGGCCTGAGGTTTGTAGGCCAGGGCTGTGGTGGGAGTGAGGACCTAACCAGACCTGGGCCCAGCGCCCTGTGTGTGACCAAAGAGGTAAGGGGAGTGCATTCTCGGGCATTCAGCCTTCTGGGGCAGAGGTTCTTGGGACCCTAGGCCTGGGACTTAGGGTCTGAACTGAGGAGGGGCTTCGGGTGGGCTGTGGAACCTGAGGAGTTGTGTGCAAGGTGTAGTGTGGGAGGAGAGGGCCATGGCTTTCACCAGATCTGACAGCTTTGCAACCTGGAGAGGTGTTGGGACTCAGTGGAGGTGGCACCTCTGTCTCTAGTCCTGCCTGGTGTGTAGTCCCTGGAGGGGCCCTGGGACCTTGCAAGGCTCACCTCTCTTCCCTTGTTGCAGGTAAAAGCTGCCAACTGTGCCACTCTTCCCCCTGCTAACTACATTTTCTCTTGAGGCCCCTGTAGCCTCTCACCCGCACCGTTTCCCTGGCAGTGGGTTCCACAGAGGGGGCCTGGTGTAAGCAGCTAAGGCTCAGCTGGACTGTTTAGGAAATGCAGCTTTAATGGCCCCAGCCCTTCTGTCTGGGTCTAGTAGTCCAGGGCACAGATGAGGGCCACACCACGCTTTACCCAGTGTCGCTGGGGCTGGTCGGTGGGGATCTCCACAGCAATGACGTAGTTTGTGGAGTGGCCTGTGGTTGATAGTGTTCCTAGAGCAGGCAAGAAGGGGGAAGGTTAAGTTGTCTGCTTCAGCTAGGGCAGGAACAGGGTATAAAGAAAGGCAGTGGACTTGGCAAACTGAGCTTGGGACAAGGAAGGGGACCTGACCCAAGAGGAAGCCTGTCTGGGGAGTGTGGCCAAGGCTCAGGCCTGCCCTAAGTTACTGCACTGACAATTGAGGATGGGAATGGGAGAGTTGACGCCCCTGCTCATTCTCTGTGGACCCAGCCCAGGCCCACCCCACCTCTCCAGGCCTCAGTTACCCCCTCTGAACCTCCATTGGCAGGCTGGGCCTCCCAGGACCCAAGGTGGGTCTGCTAAGGGAAGCAAGAGGATGGTGAGCTCAGGGGCCACTCCCCACAGACTGGGCCCAGCCCCTGGGCATCACCTTGCCTACTACTGGCCCAGCTCTGTCCTGGCCCAGTCAGTCTCAGGAGTGAGTGCTGACTGACCTCTGTCAGCCATCCTGTTCAGCTAACCTGGGTCAGCCTAACTGGCCCAACCCTGGGCCCCCACCTGTGGTGTAGGCTCCCCGCCCTGGGCCCCATACCAGCACGGGTCAGCGTCTTGTAGATGGGGCACAGGTAGAAGTCCTGGTTCTGGACCTTGCGGTTGGGCGTTGGCAGGAGCCAGATAACGGCCATCTCTGTGTATAGCTCCTTGGGCCGAGACTCAGCCAGCTGGAAGGCCAGAGGGTCCCATCGGGCACCTTCCAGGAACAGTCCATGGATGAAGCACCCCTCTTTGGGTCTTGTCTTGAGCTCTGATACCGACTGGCGCATCACCTGTGGTCGGGCACACAGATGCCCCCTCACATATAAACACCCAGAATCTCGGTTAGGATTTGGGTCAGGAGGCACAAGCTCCCTCCTGAGGGCTCTGCCTGCCTCCCCCCTTCACCTGCTGTTTCAGCTGGTAGCCTACAGTCTGTGCTCTGCCCCTAGGGATTTCCCTGGGGCTTATGGTCTCTTCTGGCTCTCCCTGTCCCCCAACCCCCTCTCAGGGGCTCCCCTGATTGCCAGCCAGCTGTGGCCTCCGTGCTCCTCCTACCTGGGCCACACCCCAGCCTGTCACCTGACCTGGCCCTGGCTGAGTCCAGACCTTGAAATCGAAGGAGATGGTGTCGATGGAGATGATAGACTTGCGGGCATAGTTTTGCAGGGTGCCTGTCAGGAAAGCCTGGGGGAAGAAGAAGCCGCTGATCCAGAAGACGGCTGGGATGCCCTTGGAGATCCAGGTCTGCAGGAAGTCCAGGCGCTGCAGCAGGTCCATGACCCATAAGGACAGTGGCTTGAGTGATGGGTAGGCCTTGGCATTCCAGAGCTCGGGCACAGTGTTGTTGTATAGGCTGGCAGCCATCAGCTCCAGCTGCAAGGACATCACCACCAGCCCTTTGAGTGCTGTGAGCAGGTCTCTCAGCGTCTGTGTGATCACTTGCAGCAGCCGGTTGTACCTATGGAGGCAGTGGCAAGGAGGAAGGCAGTGGTCTGGGGCCGTGTGGCCATATCCACACTCCCCAGTTGTAGGCAGTAGACAAAAAACCAATGGCAGAACATAGGCGCTAAGAGCATAGAGTGGGGTCGAGTGGCCTGAGTACCAGTTCCAGCTCTGGCTGTTAGTAAATGTATGACCTTAGACAAGTCATGTAACCTTTTTGGGCCTTGGTTTACTCATCTGTAAAATGGAATAAAAATATGGCTGAGTTAGAGAATGGGTTTATAGCACTTGGTGTAGCTTTTACTGTCATTACTCTACAGCTCAGTGGCCTGCTGACTCAGGGCTGGGGGTGGCAGGGGATTACCGAGTGACCTCCTGTACTAGCACCGTGTTCATTGACTCCTCATACAGCACAGGGTACTTGGTCATCACCCGCTGCAAGCTGATGGGCTCAGGCACCTTGAGCAGAATGTTCTGGGCCACATCCTCCACTATCTGTGGGCACAAAGAATTCTATATGCACAGAGTTCCTTCCCACAGGGGAACAGGCATGATGGTGGATAGGAGACTGGTCCTGCTCAACCACTGGGCCCTTTCCCCTGCTGCCACTAACCTCCTCCCGGTGCTGGCCGCCTGCAGAGGATGATTTGGGTTGCAGCTGGACAATGGTGCCAAGCAGGGTGTAGGTCTCATTCTGGGCACAGGTGATATTGGCATTGTCATGCAGGCCAAAGATCTCAGGCATGTCGTTGAGTGGAAGGCTCTTGATGTAGGAGAGGTAGCCCTGGAGGGTAGGAGCGCTGCGACTGAAGCCCCTGCCCTGCTCTACCTCCAGCCTGCGGGACAGCCCTCTAACTGAGCACATCCACTACTTGTCACCCCTGGTCGCAAGCTTTACGCATGTCCCTCTTACCCTCAGGACTCCATGGCCTCTGCTCCCTCCTAGCCCACTTCTCCCTGCTGCCTAGCTCCCTGCTTCTTCATTAAGCTGCTCAAACCTGTCACAGCCCCTCCTGCCACAGGCCCTTTACACTGTTGACCCACACTCTGGGGTGCTCCACCCAGCACCTGCCTGCTCCTCACACATCTTAGCTGAAGCATCATTTCCTCAGGGAGCCCTCTCTGACTGTGGTCTGGGCTGCTTCCCACCTCACTGCCTCACCTGGCAGCCTCAGAGGAGCCGCCCGGCCCCTCCCAGCCTCACAAAGTCCTCTCGGGCAGGGGCTGAGAGGCGGGAGTTGGACTCTGCCCACAGAACCTGAGCTCCAGGGCTGTCTTTGTGGGATGGATCAATTCAATGAAAAGGAACTACTGGCCGGTTGGGGCCAAGTCTTCCAGCACCCAGGTGTTCACGGCACCCCAGGACCCCAGCCTGGCAGGCTGCCTAAAGCATAGCCCCGGTGTGTGCTCACGTTGAGGTCGTAGGTGGGCTGGATCTGGTGGTAGACGCCCGAGGCACTGTAGCTGTGCTCGGGGAAGAGCACGGCAGGGCTGTAGAAGTCCTCCAGGATGTTCATGACGCAGCGGCGGTCCCAGTCGTCAGTGACGCGGCCCCCGTAGTTGATCTCCCCTGCCGTGTACTTGAGGACCTACGGGGGGGGTAGGTCAGGCCCCCACAGGCACCCAGCTCCCCGCCCTCAGCCCATCCCCAGCCCACCTTGTAGGGGATGTGGTCATACTCATCCAGGAACATCTTGAGCTGGCTGATGCAGATGCGTAGGTCCCCGTCCGTGAACTCGTAGGGTATGTTGAAGCCCAGGGGCCCAAACTTACGACGCTCCAGGGCATTCCCATGGAACAAACACAGAGACAGCAGCAAGGACTTGAACTCCATCACCTGCCAGAGGTGGGGGCAGGGCGGAGGGGTGTGAAGGGTGGTGATGGAGATGGGGCAGGTTGGGGGTGCACGTGCCAAGTGTGTCTCACCTTGTGACAGGAGTTGAAGAAGTCATCGCTGAGGCTGCTGTAAGACTTGAGCAGGTTGGCCTTGACCCCGCGTGGCGGCTCAATGGTCACCTTGGAGCCATTCTGTAGGATGGACACTGGGAACTTGTTGCTGGGCAGGCTGGTGAGCCACAGGCGGAAGTCCCGGTGCACCTGGTGGCCACGCTCCACGTGAGCATTGAGACCCGTACCTGGTGGCTGCCCCAGCACCAGGCTCCCTCCTACCCAAGGACCCTGAGCCACCCTCAGCCTGACTCCACTCCTGGGTTGGGCTGGGCCAGACCAGGCTGCAGGGACCACTGGTAAAGAACATGGGCTTCGGCAAGTTCCAGGGTCACCCGTCTGTGCTGGGTGGCCTTGGGCGAGTCACTGGTAGCAGTTACTTGAGGGGGCCACTGGGAAGATTAATCTAGTTGATACGTGTTACATATGTCACTTCCTGAGCGCCCACTGTGTGCTGGTGGCTGGGCTGAGTGCTCTGTGGGACGATCTCATTTAGCCTTATCAGTCCTGGATGGATGTACTGTATTCCCTTGGTGTACCTTGTCGGGATTGATGTGCTCAATGAGGCGCTCCAGGACTGGCATCCAGCTCGGTGCCAGGTGGCAGTTCTGAAAGAAGACCCACTTGCCCCTCTCTATGGAGCTGTGCATCATGGCTTCCGCCCGAGGGCCCTGTGGGGACAGGAGTGCTGAGTGGTGGCGGACCAGCTGGCCCAGTCCACCAGCTCCCTTCTCCCCCACCTCCTCGCCCTTACCTGGCCCTGGCCCAGGGAGATGGCAGAGAGCTTCTTGGAGAACTTCATTTCTTCCGCAAACTTGTAGAGGTCGGCAGCCGGGTCAGTGCCAGGCGATAGCACGAAGATGAGGGGCGTGGTGGAGTTGGAGTCTTTGAA